GTCTGCAGTGGTCAGTACCAATCAACAGTGCTCCACAGAAGAAAAAGTCTCAGGGTGCCCAGGTGGTTATGGCTGATCAGTGTATATTTGTGAATATGTATACTGACTTCAGGACACACAAGAGGAGTTATATTTTTCAGGTGGTTTAGGAGCATGTGAGGAGTAACTGGAAAACATCCGTACTTGTCTGTTTGACTTAAGTCTACACTTTTATCCTGCTGTCTACATTTAACTTGTCTTGGTTAAGGTTCCAATGTACAATGCAACTGTGCACAGACTCACCAGGAGGAAGCAGGGGCTGACAAACTTCCAGCACAGCCTCCAGTACAGTCCTGGTCGCTGGCCAATCATCTCCTCAATGTCATCACTGAATCGGTCTACTCCTGAAACACGTGGAAATGTTTGATATTACTACCAAGACATGGTTGAATACAGGCTTTGCTAAAATTGTCAAATATACATACTCTACAGTACTGCATATTGAATTCACAGCAGGTTTGGGGGTACATTCCTTGTTTTTGCTGCTTAGTACATTTTATATTTGAGAATCTTAGGTATTGGAAATAAGGTAGTAAGTGTGTATGGTCACTTATGGTATGGTGTATGCACAATTTTTAAATCAAAAGTTAGCAGTTAAGAAACCTATGGCACATAAGATTGTTAGTAAAAACACACACAATTCAACTATTTCCAGAAACTAAAGTTACTCTTTTACAAAGTTGCTGCACCATTTTTACCTTAACGCATATTTCCTTCTCTTTTATAAACCTGGCTGCACATTTTGCTCTCGTGCCTGGAAGGCATCCCTCACTGCGGAGGAATATATCCTGACTGACGACCAGTTATTCAGCACAGTAAATGTACTTATGTAGTGGACAGCAGAACGAAAGACCACAGTGGCCAGGAGTCAAGGGTTCCTGTCAGCTATTATGAGGATGGGGAAAAAAGGCCAGCTGAACCCTTAGGCTTGATTTATCTGGCTTGCCAAGGTCAGGACCCACCAAAGTGGGGAAATATGCTGGCCCCACCGCCTGGGGGCTGGTTAGTATTTAGCCCTTTATGGATCTCGTCACCGTCAGGTTCAGTATACATGAGACATAAAACTCAATACAGAAGTTCAGGTCAACCAGTTTCCTGACCTTTAGATTGTTTTTATAATATTTTGTGCCAGCTGGTGTTTCAAAATTGGGATGAGTTTTTCACACTATGAAAAGTCAGTTTTTTCCTTCTTTCAGCTGGTGGTGCTGTAGGTGAAAATACTGTATATGCAAAGGTGCATTTCCATCATAAAGAAGTTGGTCTTTAGCAATTATAATACCAAAACAAAAACAAAACAAGAAGGAAGTAAGGAAGGGAGAGGACAAGAACCCAAACGGCTAACTCTATTGTAATTATTTGCACAGCTATTAGACGTCAGTAATCAACACATATGGGGTTGAATTTTGAGGACCTAACAAATAACATATAGTACAAAAAGGATATTTACTCTTACACAGCTCAAGTGTTTCTTCCATGTTGTGCTGATAAAGTGCTGGCAGAGTACAGTAAAGAATCCCCCTTGAGACATGTCATTCATGCCAGAAAACTAGAAAACTAAACCTAAAAAAGCATATAGTGGTGTAGAGATAGTGGCAAAACTGTGTAAAATTGAGCATCAATAGAATTTGGACATCTGGAGAGAAATTGACTTTGAGTCCCCCCCCACTTGCCACCCACAACAATCTACAACCTAGCTATTAGACAGCTGACTCCTGTCCATGACAAATGGGAATTGCCTGTTCCCCAGCTGCAATTTGCTTTATGTGGTGGCTCACCACTGCTGAGTGAACACAGAGGTAAAAACTGGCAGCGGTCAAAACGCGGGTCATTTAACATCACAGAGTTCTTATGAGCGCTACAGTATATCCTTGTACCTTAACAATACATGCACAGAGACTGAAGAGGCCAAAACCATTAGTGGGAAGAGACCCTTTAGCTGCAGTATCCTTACGTTTAATAGAGCTGTGCTGCGTTGAGGCACAGCACACCTATACCAACAGATTTCTCATCAAACCCTTAATATAGGATCAGCTTTGCTGACCATGACAACATGAATCATCTGTTTTTCCTTCCTATTTTCACCTGTCCATCTTCCTCACCATAAAACCATGCAATGCCGATGGCTTCAATAAGCACTCCGAAGAGAATCGATGTTCCTGCTGCAAAGTGGTCCAGCAGAGTGAACACATACATCCCTCCCTGGAGAAACATAGTGAATGTATAATAACTGTGTTATTATATTAAGTTTTATCATACAGGTTACAAAGAGAAAATCATCATTAGAGTAGGACAGTGTTACAATCAGATCCTGTGGGAATGATTGAATGTTTATATGAAATTGCCATAGTGCAAAGATGAATATTAAAAATCAAATAAAGGCAACATGCAACAGACTGCCCAGTATTGGACTTACATTTGTAACACAGAAGAGGGATATGAGGAAGGTGGAAACAACAATGAAGAGGGTGAACAGCTCTCTGTGCTTGTGGAGGAATTTAAACTCATCAATCAGCCCTGTGATCACCGACTCCATCCCACCCATCTGCAACAGAAAAACAAGAGTTAGAATAAAACAGTAAAAGTCAGCGATAAATGAGCTGCTAAATCGTTGTAGATGTCCAGCTTTTATTACACAATTGCTGCACTGAAGCTTCAAAAACAATATGGAAATGAAAATAGTTTGTTCCACATTACGAGGGGTGTCTGAAAGGTCTGGAAATGAATTACAGTACATCAGTTAAAATACGCACTGCGGATATTGCAGCAAAATCACAACCTTACTGACACACTCATAGGGAAAAGGCACACGTCACCTCGCTGAAATAACAGGTGTCTATGTGAGTAAGTGTGTGTGTGTGTGTGTGTGTGGGTGGATACTCACAGCACTGTCAATGCCCAGTGTCAACAGCATGATGAAGAAGATAACCGCCCACACTGATGACCCTGGTAATGTGGCAATGGCTTCTGGGTAAATAACAAACACCAAACCAGCACCTAAAGAACAAGAAATTCGAGAGATTAAGGTAGATTTTAGACATAACAGCAGCTTCCAAAATAGATTGCTAAAAAGCAAAACAAATGGTTAAAGAGCAAATATAACATACTTGTTTTAATGAAAGAATCAGGGGAATAAAGTCTGGTACACCGGAGGGGAGTTTGTGCAACATGTTTCATTTTAATCGACCGCGAACCGCATTGGTGGCATTTGAATCCAGTCATTGGGTTCATGAGGGTTTCTTCACTGATTACAGTCCTGGCAACTAAAGATAGCTCATCTTAAATATCATTGACTCTTGGAATAATCAAATAATGCGCATTATCCTGCTTCTATTGAGCTGTTTGCAGTGTCATTTAATAGCACCCATCATGGAATACCTCTAGAAGTAGCCTGCTGTGGGTTACCTGGCATTAACAACCTATGAATATATATCTTCCACTCTCTTATTTCACACACCACATTATTGACATGTGAGGGGAACACACAACAGCAGGTTAGACTCATAGTCAAATATGCAAAGTGCACTAACAAATGGTCTCAGTGAGCTCAAGGAATCCACGCCAATACACCAACAACACATTACAAGGACAGACAAATAATACCATACCATCTCTGGCAACTTTGTCAAGGGCTACGTTGTGCTTGTAGGACATGTACCCAAGGAAGGAGAAGACCACAAAGCCGGAGAAGAAACTGGTCAAAGAGTTGATGGAGGTGGTGATGATGGCGTCTCTGGATCAATAAAAACAAATAGGATGAAACAGTGCAGGATGGGAATGTAAAAAATCATCAGTCAGCCATCACACAGTCAATATCAACATCACTGACTAGCCAGTCAAGTGAAGAGTATTTCAGGCCTCTAGCCTCTTAAGAATGCTAGCTTGCTGTAATGAGTCTGGGTTGCAGATCAGTTTAGAGATCTTTTATAGATTTTATGGATCATTTTATTAGTCAGGTAGTCAGTGTCATTGGTAGTTGGTATAGTTCAACCTCCCTCAGTGGCAAAAGAGAAATTAAAATTAAAATTAACAAATAAATTAGTTGGTCAGTGGTGAACTGGGGTAGGACCCTGGTGTGTGAAAGGGAAATAAGCTGAATAAATGTACACATGCAGCAACAGTGTCCCACGAAATTGGTATAACCATCACAGTCATTACTTTGAAAAGACAAGACATATTTTGGAAATTTACTTAAATATATTTGCAGTGATGCTCAAGGAGGAATCCTCAAGGTGGACAGTGTCATGTGTCAGTTATCAGAGGTATTAAAAAAGGCAAAAAAAAGAAGATAAAAGCCTCCTGCGGGATGCTGATGATTTTCAAAGAGTGCGACAGTTTTGATTGGTGTTTCAGCTGTCTGTTGCGCAGCATGGTGTCAAAGACATAGCGGGTTTCAAGGAGCTTCAAAGGTTATTGTAATTCACCTGCTTATGTTGCGTGCATGAGTTTGTGCGTGTGTGTGTAGAAGCAACTCTCTGTCCTCCATTTGTCTCTGTGAATTCCCCCCCGCTCCTCTCCGTGTGTGTCTTTACCTGTAACAGTTGTTGCTGAATTTATTGTAGCTGGAAAAGGCAATTAGCACACCAAACCCCACTCCCAGAGAGAAACAGATCTGTGTCGCTGCCTCAATCCAGACCTGGGGAGCGACAGAACAAGCACACTTGTGTGAAGCGGCAAACAAAAGGCACAGGAGAGGAAAAAAGCCATTATTAGGGATAATTGCAGGAAACTCATTCAACGGCAGTAGATGAAAGACGCTAGTGAATACGGGGGGTAATTTTGCAAATTACTGCTCGATGCATCTATCTAATCTAATTCTCCAATTGCTGCCATGCATCTCTGTATCTCTCTCCTTGCTTTCTCTCTCATTCTCCATAACTGAGTCCTTTAGTGCTGCATTGTCACCTATTGAGCCTGCTATTAAGATACTGTTAGATGTGATAGCGGGTTTCACAGATTAAGAATAATATTAGAAACAGTGTACACAAACAACTTTTCTCACATTACTTTTATGCCTTGAGGAAATGCCTCACTAACATTACTTAACAATGTGAACCAATGTTGTGTTTGACAGGTAATATCAGATGATATGCATTAACCAGATAGTTGTGTAAATTGAGTTCACAAGAATAGGCCCACATTCAAAATGAGAGATGATTAATTTTTCCAGGAAAGAAAGGAAATTGTTGTGCAGTGTGTGTGTAAGTTGTCTACTCTTTTTCACCCCCTGTCCTGCCTTTTAAATTCATTTACTATTTTCTTACAGTTCTCCATTCATATGCTTTTTTTGTCTATTTTTTTTTTGTTTTGGGCTCACTGTTACGGTTACAGTTTACCAAATATGGGAAATTGAACACTTACTACACTACTGCACAATCAGCATTGAAAATAGCAATATTGCTGTGGTTCCTCTTTAGCAGTAACACCTGGTGCAAAGCCTTGCAAAGCCCTGACCACAGATTGTTATCTGCTTACAATGAAGACGGTTATCAATTATAAATGAAAAAAAAAAACTGTCATATAGAGTTTATAATGATTTAGACAAAACGTACTGTAAAATCTACCCTCCATCACTGTGAATACTGTCACTTGTCACTTTTAGAAATTTCAAAACAGTTAGTTAACCTATTGCATGCTTTCTATTGCTGTTAGGGTTAGTCTAAATGTAAGACTACCTTAGCACATTAGCATGATATAGTTAGCCAAATATGTTTCAAGATACAAGCGAAGTATTTTTCTAATTATGATTTGTGATATTGGGCTACAGTATATAAATACAATTGACTTGACTTTATATAGCAACCCACTGTTTTCAGGTTTCTAATGTAAGATAAAGAAAATAAAAACTAAACTTCAAATATCAAAGCTTTCCTTTAGAATGTCTTTCAAATCACAGTTACCTCCCTATGCCTCCTTTTCTTCTTCTGCACCCCCAACCTTCCCCATCACCTCTTCCGTGTCCCCCCTCTCTCCTGTAGACACTCACCTTGGGGTCACAGAGTCTCAGGAAGTCCACAGAGAGGTAGGCCTTAATGCCATCGATGGCTCCGGGCAGAGTGACTCCGCGGAGCAACAGCACAGTCAAGACCACATAGGGCATTGTGGCTGTGATCCACACAACCTGAAAGGGTTGCACAAGGTACACACACATACACATACACAATACGCACACATTTACACAGAGAATGGATGAAGGGCATGAACACATTTATATACACACAAACAGTGACCTTAAACTGCTTAGTGGATTTAAACTGGACTAGAATATGCAGTATTTTCTTAATGCATATATCCTAAAGTAATTCTATAGCTTATGACTCACTTAAAGGTCCAGTGTGTAACATTTAGGAGGACCTATTGGCAGAAATGGAATCTAATATTATAACATAATAGTATATCATTTGTATATCCCCTGAAAATAAGAATTGTTGTGTTTTTGTTTCCTTAGGATGAGGTATTTGTGTTTACAGACGCCGCAGGTCCCCTTCTGTGGTGGCCGCCATGTTGAACCACCATATTTGACATATAACAGACAAATCAATAACTCACACCTGGTAGGATTGGGCCATTCATGTTATTCGTGCATTTTTGAGGCGACTGTAGTTTCTCCATCGCGCTTGGAAAGAGTGAGTTGCAATCTGCCACTACACCACTAGATGTAAATCCTACACACTGGATTCTTGAGTAGGAATAATGGTACTGTAGAAACATGGCTACTGTGTCATTTCCTACCTTGCCAGAGGTCTTGACTCCCTTCCACAGACTGAAGTAGAGCAGAACAATGACTACAGCTAGACAGGAAGTCAACTGCCAGCGTGGACGGCCCAGATCATTGATACCATTACTGTCCTGGATGTGGAGCACCCCTCGCCTAAGGAAAGACAGTATTCTGGTCAGAACCATGACCACTCATGAGTCACAGTTTATAGTGTATGTATTTATATTTATCAATCAATCAGATTTTGTTTGTATAGCACTTTTCATACAAGCAAACTATTACACAAAGTGCTTCACACATTAGAACACAGGGAACAGCCCAGAGAACTAGCCTAAGAACCTCTGATCACTTCTCTGTTGCTGTTTGACAACAGTTAACCAAGAGGTGCACAGGAGACCAAAGGTAAAACAGCACCTTTGTCTATCCCTTCCAAATGGAATAGTAAAGAGATTTAATCACATTTAAGCACACACTGTACACTATGCATTCAGAGTTGATTATTTGCCTTCAACTGAGCCAGGGATGCTTGATATTATCCTAGAAACTATTGGGTACCAACAGTTTCCCTATTGCACTGTACTACAATAAAGGGATTATAGTATGCACATGCAATAGTAAGTTTAAGTGAACTACAAGGGTAGACAACTATGATGACACAAAGCTCAATTAATCCATTAAAGTTATGAAAATGTGCTTTTACCAGAAAACCATCCAATGTATTCTTATTTGATCAACCTTTAGAAACACACAACCTTCTGGCCTTGAACCAAGACATGTTCTAAGACCTGCCAAGCTGGAGGACAGTAGTATAGCTCTTGACATAGTGACCAAGCCAGAGAAGAAGGTAGAAAAGGGCAAGTATTACCTAACTGCATCCTAGAGTCCCGCAGAGCTGCACTTTGAGCTCACCTCACCAAGCAATATTTCTAGGTTACCCTGAATGAACTTATTCTAGATGTAACACTGGGTGCATTCAGGATCTATATGGCTAGTTTCTAGCAAATGACAATAACCACGCAGAGAGTATGCTGCAGCCCACCCGAATGTCATTATTATTCAGTTGAGCTATACACCTGGATCTAGATCTTGATGTCTTAGATAAAACTGACTTAACAGTCAATATCCAGCCTTGTTGGCAGCTGAGTACCTGGGGTTCATGAGTGACAAGGGACATTTAAGACCCCAGGAAATCTGGCTTCATGAAGTGTTGCTACATCTGTTGCAAACTTTTGCATTTTAGTAAATCAGAAAGATCACAACAGCCGGTCAAGATGGGAGAACCAGTTTGACCATAAAAGGCTTAGATTTGAAAGTGTATTTTTATGTTGCATTCTATAAAGTTGAATCTGAACATGTGTCACCTGAATGACTATAATATTACTGATGGTTGACACCTTAATTCAGATCATTTCAGAGACTAAGATGAGACCGAATAAGATCAGCCAGCGTTCCACTGATGTGGTCAAATTGTCTGCAGGTGGTTCTGTGTGAATAGCACACTGCCATTTCAACTAGCATGGATGAAAAGTCTCAACTGTCACAACAGAACAACCCCTCACTTGCTGCAACAGGAGACACCTGGCCAGACTCCGGATCCATTTTGAGGAAAATATTTATGATGTTCACTTTTAAATATTTTATTTTATGATTTATAATTAGATATTCTAAGACATGACTATGTCTAGACAAAGGTCTGAGAGTAATTACAGTAACTTCATTTATTCTTTAGAGAGTCTTAGAGTGTCCAGCCAACTCCACCATTACATGGCAAGAGCGCATTGCATCAAACTTTTTTCTTGTTCCTGCAGTGGAAATGTATGGGTGATAAAACTCAAACTCAGCCAAGAAATGTTTTAGTCTTTCTAAATAAATTGTAATGCGCATTAAAATTTAAAGACAGGCAGTTAGACTTACAAAATATCCATATTGTTGTACGGTTGGGCTCCGAACTGACTATAAATCTATGTAATTGTATTTTTTTATATAGAACAAATATGAATAAATAAATGTGAGAGCCTCAAGGCCAACTTACTCAAAGTACTCCTGAGCAGGGGTGGACTTGTAAATGTCACTGACTGAGCTGTTGTCAGCCCAGTCAGAGCAGTTAGGACTGTTCCAAGTGTTGTTGCAGTGGACCCACGGTAGCTCGCTGGTAAACGAGGAGAAGAGGTAGAACAGTGCCCAGGAGATGATCACATTATAGTAGAAACCAACGTAGAGGGAAATGAGGATCACTGTAAAGCCTACACCTGTTAGGGGGACACAAATGATTATTTTTAAACACATTAAAGACAGAGATACAAACACAGAAA